AAAAGTCTAAATTCAATGCCCTTCATGAATAATGCACCTTTAAGCAGAATTTACAATATAAAACTTAAAGAAGCAATTAATAATAATCATAAATTAACATTTTTTCGACAAAAAAGAGGACTTGCTAATTTTTTGGGGTCTGCTATTAAATTTATTACGGGCAATCCAGACAATGACGATCTAGAAATAATCAATGACAATATAAAATCACTTTCGGATAAAACAGACGAACAATCGATAAAAATTAATAAACTTATTTCAAATGCACAACATATTCAAGAAAGATTTCATTTAATAATTGACAATTTTAATAGTACCAATGAACAACTGGAAAAATATTTACGCAATATACAAAATGATTTAGGAATTCATGAAGCACAAATTAATATCGCTAATATCGAACACGTAAATAATTTTTTATTAATTTTTACGTACAATAACATTTTCAAAATTAAATTTAACAAATTTAGAACTATTTTCTGCCGATGAAATTACAAGATTAGAAATAGAATTGGAAAAATTTTACGATACCAATCAAATTTGTTTCAACTAATCTGCTTAAACACTGTCAAACTATTCTAATTCACACTAACTATAAAATTATATTAATTTTGAAAATTCCAATCCTTAAAGTCAAATCCTACCCGCTAATCAAAGTTTTCCCAATACCTAATGAAGACAAAACCCTTATCCTACCACCAACTTCATGGAACTCCCACAACGATTGGTTCGAGATTCGAGCAACTGTTCCATAACGAATCCTCACCGATACCCAACAGTTAAAGCCGAATCCGAGATTGAATACGATTTACCAGATGGAAAAATAGTGTACTCCCCAACGAAGACATTCCGGTGTAACCAATCCATAACAGTCGATTGCTACACGATCCAATGTACCGATAAAGAAGAAGACGTCACACCTGAATTTTACACACACAATTTGCCTCCGGCAAGAAACAAACTTATTTTACAGAAAATTGACAAAATAATCATTTTGTGCTTTTTCCCTTTTTATAAAATTTATTTTTGTTCAGTGTTGATTGAATCGTCAAATCATTAACTTGTTAACTTCTTCTTCAATAAATATTTGGTGTCCATAAAAACTTGTGTTTTCATCCAAAATATTTAACTCGCGCCCAATATATGGGGCAAAATTTGCCAAGTGTACCAGGTAAAAAAAAAATTGTCACCGATTTTGTTTAAACTTTACAAATTTAAAATACACATTGTTAAAAAAAAATACAAAATATTGCAAAATTTCAAAAAAAAATTGCAATTTTTTTTTGTTGCAAAAACGGTATAGCCCATTAAAAAGTACGGAAAAAATCATTTAAGGTGGTTAAATTAAAATATTTAATAAAGAGATGAACAGAAGTTATGAATTTTTAAATAAAAAGTGATTTCACCAAAAAGTAATAAATCGATAAATTTCAATAATCCATTTTGAATGAACAATCCTAGAGCAAAAAAATTTTATGCTATGATTCTTCGTTATAAGAACAACATATAAGTAAAGTTTAAACAAAATCGGTGACAACAATTTTTTCACCTGGTACACTTGGCAAATTTTGCCCCATATAGAAAATCACATGCTTCCAACGGGAAGGGGGGGCGTATGCAGGTATTATTAGGACGTATAATACATTAAGAAAACTTTACATGCGAAAAGATGTGGAAAAATGTATTAAGAGTTGTGACGATTGTCAAAGGTATAAACATTTAAAACCCAATAAAGAACCTTTGTCAATAACAACAACGGCTTGCTTAGCTTTCTATTAGAAGTAAATTTAAATGACAACAACTATATTTTAACACTTCAATGTGACTTAAGTAAATTTGTAGAAGCATATCCAATACCAAATAAAAAAGCTAAAATCGTTGCTAAAGTTTGTTGAAAATTTTGTACCACGATTCGGCATTCCAAAAGAAATAGTAACAGATCAAGACACTGAATTTTTAGCAAGTACTTTTAAGGAAAGTTGCAAAATTTTACACATCAAGCAAACGTTGGGTGCTCTCGAAAATTTTCATAAAAACCTTGGGAATTTTTTAAGAATGCATATAGGTAAAGATTTAGGTCCTTGGAGTACTTGGGTACCTTTTTGGTGTTTGTCACATAATAATACGGTTCACGCAGAAACTAACTGACTCAATTAATTAATCAGATCCCATCTATAATTTCGACGATTACCCTTACAGCGAGCATGGAATGATACAAAACCCAATCTATTAATTTCAAAAACAAAAAGAAAAGCTAACTACGATTTAAAATTATAAATTATTAAATATAATAAAGGAAATCAAGTTTTGGTTAAAAATGAATCGGGTAATAAGATGGAACCATTATATAAAGGACCTTTATAAGTAGTCAAAGAACAAGGTCCTAATATTATTACAAACCGTGGCTCCATCGCGTGCTATATGAATAAACAAATAAAACTTGGTTTACATACTTTTGACAGTTCAGTTGTATAGGGTGAATGATAAGTATATAGTAAAAACAGTTTTTGTGTATAATTTGTCGTGTAGAAAATAACATGGATCCCAGTTTATACTCAACTAGGCGCGGTGGGTAAGTTTTAATTATATATTTTGTATTTTCTAATGTTTATGTAAATAAAACATTTATTACTTTGTAAAGGAATAGTGTAGGAGTCGAGTCAGTTCCATATTACGTTTGATTTTCATCTTTGTTTTTGTTATATGGCCCTAAATTTCGTTGTCCCTTATAGGGGACGCCATGCGCCAAAGTCATTAAAATTAAAATATTTTTGCAGATTGATGAGCCTGATAGAGCTGATATTTATATAATTACCCCCCGACGATGACTGATCCGGATAGTGATAAGTCGGATGATGAGCATGATGCTGATCCAAACCATTTTGGCCCGGCAATTTTACAAACAAAATGTGAAGCAGTTTTATCTAGAAGAAAATCATCAGAATATGATATAGAAGACGAATATCCACTCTCCCAATATGTAACAAAAGAAATCGATGAGCCAGTATCTAAAAAAAGAAAAGTCGAAAATCCACACAACCACAAAGAAAATGAAACTTTAATAAGCCATCCTTTTTCATAAATACTGATTGTCATCCAGAACAACCCGCTGATTTTTTTAACCTAAATTCTTCCCTAAAATTCTTTTAGATTTTTTTTGATGAAAGCTTACATACATACGCAAAAAAAATTAAATTTGAATTTGGGAATTGAGAAATTATATGTGGTTTTTGGTGCTCTACTTCTTTCTGGATACGCCATATCCTAATAAAAGGATTTATTGGTCGTCTGAAAATGATGTGCCAAAAATTCTTGCTGATTGCGATTGAATAGATTTGAACAAATAATATGTCACTTACATCTCAATGACAATTCCAAAATTGATAAAGAAGATCGCCTCTACAACCTTCGACCAATTATTGAACAATTGAACAAAAATTTTAGGAAATAAGGACGACTTGATGAAAGACTAAGTAAGCACTACGCTAAACAATTTATTAGGGGAAAGCCAATTAGATTTGCATTTAAAAATTTGGCTTTTGATATTTATATAGGTAAACAAGATACTCAAGATAACAAGAATAAAAATTATGGGATTGGCAGAAATGTGCTTTTACCTCTTCTTGATATGGCAAAAATTCCACCAAATTCAAGGAGTAGAATAGCTATGGGGCTTTTGGCTCACTACTTCACATTTCGGCCGCATGGTGGCGCCACTAGCCGGGTTTCACATCCATGACCATGTATGGATGGGAGGGAAATTCGACATGGCCGCCGGCCGCCAACCAATTGTAAAAGTAATACTGGGAAATGCAAAATTATGACTTGTGGTGGCGCCACTTGCCCGGTTGATTCTCAAGTCTAGTAATTGCACAATATTTCGAAATTTTAATTAATTCTGGCGCCACACTGGCGTTGTTTTTCTCACACGCTGAGACGCACTTCCCTGCACGATACTTCGAATTTTTTCCGCATGTGACGCCACCTGCTGGAACTATACGTATACTACAGGAGCGTACAAATTAAGCTCGTACCAAATATTACGGGGGCGCACAAAGTTAACCTAAAAATTGTAATTGTAATTAATACATTCACAGTGGTGAGATGTAATTGCGGGGTTCAGAAACGTTCGAAATTGATCAAAAATGACAGGTATCCAAGACCTTGACGTGACCTTGTCGTGACCTTGAAAATGACAGGTGTAAAAATGACAGGTGTCAAAAATGACAGCTGTCAAAAATGACAGCTGTCAAAAATGACAGCTGTCAAAAATGACAGGTGTCAAAATAACAGGTGTCAAAATAACAGGTGTCAAAATAACAGGTGTCAAAATAACAGGTGTCAAAAATGACAGGTGTCAAAAACGACAGGTGTCAAAAATGGCAGGTGTAAAAATGACAGGTGTCAAAAACGACATGTGTCAAAAACGACAGGTGTCAAAAACGACAGGTGTAATTAAAATGCAAAATATGTTTTGTATAACTTAAAAATACCTGTATTAAAATTATCATATTACGTGACTTATTAAGTCGTTTAAATGCAAAAATGATATAATAAATACATTTATTTATTTATAATTCTCGCATGTGTTTTTTTATTATTGTTAGCAGAGGTATTTATTATATCATTCTATAATTTACCATTGAATGCATACCATCGATAATAAAATATAAAATTTGTAAATTGAAGTAAGTAAATACTAAAATATTTTTATTATCAAATTAATAAAGTATATTGTTTTTAGGAATGGATCTCAAGCTAAATTGATGTGAAAAAGGTGTAAACCTTACGAGCAGCTTGCAAAATTTTGAACAAAAAGTGCATAGTGAGAAAACCCTTTGGTTGGAACATATTAATATAAATATTAAGGGCTTTAATCAACTAATCAAACAGCATAGAATATCTGCAGGTATCTTAAATTGTATTTATTTATGTAGAGTAATATCCATTATATCCCATTCGAATAATTTATTTAATAATGTGTGTGTGTTTTTTTTTAGGTTGAAGTTGTGCAAGTGTACGCCGGCACCTTTTACGAAGGGGGAGTAACAGCTCTTGAAATGATAAGACGTCCCCGCAAAGGGTGCAGTTTCTACTACGATAAGAGCTAAGTTATATACAGTACACTAGCATGTTGATTGAATATGTCTTTCACTCAACGCTAGCATGCGTTGATGACTTCCTTCTTTGGACATTTCACACATATTTTTTTAAATTAATCGTAACCTCCGCATAAAGTGGAATTCCCCTTAAATTAAATGTTCAAATTACGTTTTATTTTTCATTTAGAAATACATGTACTTTAATTATTTATTTTCCATCGAATTAATTAAAAAATAATGGATGTTATTATATGCAAATTTATCTGGTTACTTGGTAAAATTAATATATTTATAGATTAAATAATAAAATTAGTATATTCATAAAAATGTAATTGCGAGGTTGTTATGACATTGACAACATTTGAGCCACCGGAAGAATTCGGAAACGTTCGGAATTGATCGGAAATTAACGAAATATATAAGTATTAAAAATGACAGGTGTCAAAAATGATGTGTTAAAATTGCAAATACGAATTCCGCCACCCCCACAGCCCCACCGCCCCTGCTAGTGTCGAACAGAAAAATAAAATATTATTAAATATTGTGCAATATTGCAAAATGTAAAAATATGACTCATGAAGACTGACGCCAAACTGGCGGCACCTATTTTTATTATTTGCATATTTAATTAGGTAAATAAGTTTGTGGCGCCACACTGGCGGCACATATTTTTATTATTTGCATATTTAATTGCATCTACTTATATGACTTTCATCACGATTATATTTTATCTAAGTTCAATAACGATAACGCAAAATTATTATATACTGACACCGATAGTTTGCTTTATGAATTTACCTGTAACGATGCATATGAGGAAGTTATACTTAAAGATAGCCAAATGTTCGACACTAGCGATTATCCAGCAAACAATCGCTGGAATATCCCTTTGTTAAATAAAAAAGTTCCCGGTTTAATGAAAGACGAACTTAACGGGGAAATTATGACACATTTTATTGGTCTGCGCTCTATAAAACCTTTAAATTTAAAGGTGAAAAATGTGTTAAAAAATCGAAGGGTGTAAAATATAATATTGTTAAAAATTCTATAACTTTCCAAGATTATTTCGATTGCCTTAATTCAAAAACTAATAAAATTATAAATCAAAATTTAATAAAGTTTATAGCGTCAAGCAACAAAAAATTGGATTAAGTTGCTTTGACGATAAAAGATCCCTTTTAAATGATTCGCACGACACTCTGCCTTGGGGACATTATAGTATTATTTGACTTTATTATATTTGTTACCTTACAATTTTTAAATTTTTTATTATCCTGTGCGTTACTTTATATTTTTGTTCATCTACAATAGCCTATAATTAGTATTAGTTTATGTTGCGTACCTGTTACAAATTCCTATATTTATCATTACACACAACGCACTAAAATTCTAGAAAAAAGACTAAAAGTTCCATTTGAAGAACTAAATGACCTTATGATTTGAGCGGAGTATTAAAATTTATTTAAAGTGAAATACTTTAAAAACAGGATCTCAAGGTCCACCAGCCGGACCCCCAAGGCTATCGAGTTTTAATATAAATATTTAATGACATCTTCAGTACCATCAAAACATGATTGGGGCAGCGAAACAAAACATTGTGTATACGACGTGAACCATTAAAACTGGACTGGATTCCATTTAAACAATCTTTACCAGTTGTTCAAGATATTGCAACTTTAATACAACAAATGATCCAGGATATACGTGAACGTGAAAATATTAAAAATAGTGATGACGACTACGACATACGCATTGAAGTTAAAGACGAATTGGTTGATGCAGGATTAATGGATTATAATTAATGAAATAAAGTGAAAGTACAGACAGTTTATTTGAAAGCATATTAGATGATATACTATGAAAAAATAAAACACTTTTAAATCCTAAATTGTTTTTTATTTAGTCTTTTATTAATCATACATTATAATGTTTAACTAAGTCATTTTTGTTGATCCAACTCTTCTCGTTTTCTCCAAACCATTTCACGTATACTTTTGTTCCTTTTCGCCTTTTTCAATCAAATGAATATCGGGAAACTTTGCAATTCGAATTCATAAAAACCTCCCAGAATAGGTTTTCCATACTGATCCTCCAAGATATAAGTTGTAGGATTTCTTATTTTAACCTGTTTTACAGTGACTATTCCACTCATTACTTTTTGGACCAATCAGATTTCAGAAAACGAGTGGTTTTTTCAGTTTTGCAGCGATAAAACTAATATTCAGGTGAAAAAACCACTCGTTTATACTTGTGGCATAGCAACCTATTGGTTACTATGCGAAAAATAATTTTCAATGTTGACGTTTCTAATTTAAAAGAAAAATGTCAAAAAAAATGCGTTTCGGTCAAAAAAATCATGCAGAAATTGAATCCGCAGTTAAAGAAACAGTGCCTAAAAACACCAAAAAAACGAATACATCCATTTGGAAGCAATTTATGGATTTTTGTGAGGCAAAAGGATACCAGTTGCTGCAGTCTACACCACTAAGTGAACTTGTAAATATATTAGAAGATTATGCGTTCAATATGAAGAAGCTGGATGGGTCTGACTATAAAGAACACTGTATAAAGACGTTATGGAACGTGACAGCAAAGATGTTACAAGAAAAATACTTTACAGAATACAACATTGTTTTTAATCCCTTCACAGACCTGCAGTTCCAAAAGGCGCGTAATGCGCGCAATGCCAAGAGGAAAATATTGCAAAAAGAAATTAAAAATCAAAAAGTTAGTTCAAAAGCACTTGATATAAAGAATATTTACAAAATGGTGTCTCTTTGGGATGAAAACTGCCCGGATGGATTGCAAAGGAAGATTTTTCATATTTGTTCTTTTGAACTTGCATGGAGGGGCAATGAAGCTGCGTACAGTAAAAAACATTTTTTCAAAAAAGAACTAGATTCAGAAGGAAAGTTTATGGAAAGAATTGAATATAATACAATATTTTCTAAAACAAATCAGGGAGGGTCAAAACAACTGTCAACGAGCAAATGGCTAGTTAAAAACAACCAAAAACCAGAATTTTGCCCTGTTCGATTGCTTTTAATGCTACTGTCAAAAAGAGGTAAAAACATTACAACTGACAGGCTGTTTATTACACCTAACCCAAACTGGCAAAAAGGGCCCTGGTTTAAAAATTCTCCACTGGGTGTCAATAACCTCTCTAAATGGACCAAAACATCAGCAGAAAAAATAGGTTTGGACACCAAAAATAATAAAATAACTAACCACTCCCATCGTTCTTCAGCTGTTTCCACATTAGCCAAGCAAGGAATACGAGAACAACAACTAATCAAGATAACTGGGCACTCGCACGGGCAGTCCATCAAACCTTATCTTCAGCTCGATGCAGCACATCATTCTAATATGGTAGAAAAAATGAGACCAGTTGAAGTGGAAAATCGAATTGAAGGTTCATCTTTTATTCCCTTCACAAATTCTTTGAACACAGTTCACCATGAACATCAAAACCAGCAAGCTGCTGTTTATCAAAACTGCAATTTTACTATTAATAATTATTACAAATGATTTTCATATTACATTTTTGTTAGGTTTTGATTAGTTTTTCTAGTTTGTAAGTTTGGTTAGTTTTTGTAGTTTCATTTGAAAATTTAATGCTTGAATAAATATTTAATTAAAACCTTTTTTGTACCTAAAAAAATATTCGTGAAATAGTCTTGCCGAATACCACTCGTGATAAAATTTTCCCTGAAAAAATTTTTGATTTTTATTAACTCATGATTTTTCCTTGGAAATTACGCAAGTGGCATTATTTAAAATTTAATGCCACTTGCGTAATTTCCAAGAAAAAAACATTCGTATAAAAATCAAAAATTTTATCGGTAAAATTTTACCACTAGTGGTATTATATACGAAAATTTCATTTGACCAATTTGTCGTGTACCCTTTAGAAAATGCCTCGCGATATTTGCTTATCCGAACATTGTCTTTTAATTTAAATTTATTATTTGGACTGAACATTTTTAAATTGCTAAAGGTTGATTTTAACAAACTTTTTTCATTATTTGCATTCATATCAATCGGTTTCATTTTGATAGTTCCATGTTTCTCTTGGTTTTTTCTTTTTTGTGCATTTGTGCTCAATATAATATTTCTATAATTATTCATATCTTCTGGAGTCATTAAACTTTCGTTTGGTTTATTTTTAAACAAGAATTCATATAAACCATAAGTACCCTTATATATTCTATCTTTCTTTTTATTTTTGTCCTTTATAACAATATCATTTCCTTTAAAATTCATTTCAGAATCTCCATAGTGAAATTTTCCCAAAACTGGTTCGTAAGTTAAATAATGGGTATCAAATCTATTTTCAGTGTCTCGTATAAATCCTTTAACATATTCACGTGGCATTTCAATAAATTGATCTAAATACAAATTAAAAGATGTATCTTGATTTATGTAATCATCCATGGTAGCAAATTGCTGTTCGCGAATACTGTCATCGTAAAAATAACTATCTTGTAATGTGTCGTCTTGTAATGTGCTCTCAAATATTTCACCATCATCAATAAAATGTGGTACTGCTGCCGGTTTTTTTTTAATTTTTTTATAGGACTAGGTGTTAATTCTTTTGGTATATGGGTTTTAACATCATACTCGCTTTTTATTGCCTCTTCTTTTTTAATATCTGCCAATGATGGTTGTGTTTGCGTCGGGGGCTGCGGTGAAGCTTTTGATATTAATTGTTTTAATGGTTCCAACTCGAACTCTGTTTGAAATCTGCCAGATTTAATAGCATTTAATTTAGCTTTAATATCCCTCCTAATTTTTATTAACTTTTTGGTTAATATTTTGTCCTTCATATTTGTGTGCGTGTTAATGTCAACAAGGTTTTTTAAATACTAAATTAATTTGACTAAACAAGTATATTTATTATTATTATTATTATTATAATTATGATAATTATCAAACCCTCCAAAAACAGCACACTGTTTTTAAAAAAACAGCACACTGTTTTTAAAAAACAGCACACTGTTTTTTAGAAA